GCACTCTGGGCCCCTGTTTGTTGCTGGCCCTCCCTGCTTCCCATGTCCCATTCCCGTGGGTTCACTCGCTGGCTGGCTGGCTGGTAGGCCCCTCCTTTTGGTGGTTTCTAACCTCTTCTGTGGGAGTTCCTTGGTACGACTCTGAGAAAGAGCGGAGTTCAAGTTGTCATCGTACATTGGAAGTGCTGACTTTTTAGTACGTGCAGGTTCACAGCGGGGAGCTGCATAAGCTCAGGTTAGTGGCAGCACTCTTGTGGGTCACAGAAGTTTGTAAATCAGCCTGGAGCAGGAACATTCACCTCCGGGAATGTCAGCACCTCATTTCACTTTACTGTAGATTTCTGAGACCCGTCGCTTCTATCAGTACATCCTGATTTTATGTGTTAACTGATAGAAGATCTGAACTTCAGGGACCTTAGAGCAAGGCCTCTTAAACCTTACAAAGGTCTGCAAATCACCCTTTTAACATGCAGACCGTGATTCAGTATCTTGGGTGAAGCCTGAGGTCGTGCGTTTCTAGCAGGCTCAGAAAGACCTCACCAGGCTTCTCACACTCAATAGGACCTTTTGCACCTTTTTCCAGTTTTACCTCAAGGTCTCACCTTACATACCCCTTTATATTTTGTTTTGTTGTATTTTATTAACAGGGTTAATAAAATATTAATTTTATTTCTGATGTGCCTCTTTGCTCCGATATCACTGAGATGTACATTGTTATACATTTGGAGAATCTTCTCAACTACTGAATGTGTTCCCAAGATAACATAGACAAAAGAAAAACAGTTGCTTTTATTTTTAAAATGTTTTCCTTTTTAAATTGTGTAAACGTTCAAATTTTACAGAAGTATTTGAACACTCACAGTTTACACAGATACTTTACCAGGAAAGGTGTTTTTTAACCCGCTTAAGGACGTTGATGGGAATTCTGGAGGGAGAAAGGCCCTTAGAGACGTAAATCCTGCCATGGGTGACTCTAACAGGCTGGCCGGGCCTGTTGACAAGGGAAGGACTCTTTGGATGGGGTATCCTTGAAGGAAATTCCCATTAGGATGGTCATAATGCCGAGTCTTCGTAGGAGTGAGTGCCTGCCACATCGCTCCCCGACCTCTCCTGGCTGCATCATGCTCACTCCCTGGACCAGAGAGCCCCACTGCCTTTAACATAGAGAATGGCACTCTTTGCACACCCACAGACACACACACACACCACACACAGGGAAACAGAGAGAGAGACTGACAGAGACTCAGAGAGAGACGGAGAGATTGATTGAGATTGAGAGACCAAGACCCTCAGTAAAGCCCGTAAGTACCGTCCATGGCAGGACCCTGCCTCTTGGATCTGAATGTCCCATTTGGTGTTGAGGCTGCAGGAGGAATGGTCCAGAAGGTCGGGAACCCCAGTGGCCTTCACATGCCCATCAGAGACATGTTGCAGGAAATTGACTTTCTTGAGGGTTTCTGCAAGTTCACCCAGTGTGGTCTAGTATCTGTCTCACTTTCTTTTCTGGGTAATAAAGTGAAAATTATTTGTCTCATTTGCAGAAGACAATGGGAGGGAGGTACAGCCAGGGTCTTAGTTGTGAAAGAGAGAAGAAACTCTTCAACAAATAGGAAGGAATTGGTTCTAGCATAAGATTCAGGGTAAGTTATAAAGTTTATCATCCTAATTCAGGCTTCTTTATGGTTCTAATGCTGTTTAAAAATATAGATTATGCTTCATAAGGAAACACGTGTCATTATTTTCAGCCTTTTTTGAAAGTTTGTTTTGAATTATCTTCATCCATGCCTCATTTCAAAAAGGATTTGATACAGCCTGTCGTAGTCTATTTTGCCTTCTATATAAAAAATACTGTAGACTGGGTGGCTTATAACAGAAATTTATTTCTCACAGTTCTGGAGGCCGAGAAGTCCAAGATCAAGGCACTGGCGGATTTGGTGTCTGGTGAGACCTACTTCCTGGTTCATAGATGTCCATCTTCTGGCTGTAACCTCACATATCAGAAGGGGTGAGGGAGCAACCTGGGATCTTTTTTATGAGGCACTAATCCCATTCATGAGGCTTCACCTTCATGACCTCGTCACCTGCAAAGGCCCCACCACCAAATACTATCACACAGAGGTCTAGGTTTCGACGTTTGGATTTTGAGGGGATATAAACATTCAGTGTATAGCACAGCCCATAAAGATAGACCAACGAAGATTAAAATATGTGAGGAGATGGGGTGGAAAGAAAAGAAGCTGGGGTAGGTCAGCACGCAAAACATTTCCTAGAAGACGTAGTTCACCTGTTAGAAGTGAGCTACAAATTTGGCTGAGAGCTTCCAGGCTCCCTGAGTCAGTGATAGGATCCATGAATGGCCCACGGATTAAGGTGAAACAGTTTTCTCTTAGACTTGAAAGAAACACCTCATAACGGGAATACCATATGTGTAGTGAACCACACACTCAGCATCAACCCTCAAATAAATGGCAGAGTGTTTTGTGGGGCTACGTTTCAAAAGATCCTTCTATATAGGCTGATGGCATGTGTATGCGTAATTTAGTGAAGGCCTTTTTACAAAGACCCAAAATGATGAAGTCTAAGTATATAGCTCTCTGACTGCCTCCAGGGATAAAATTACAATGTCTGAAGGAATGGATGGACCTCATATCCATTATGGAGTCTTCCATGAGTATTGTTTTGCTCAACTGAGCTATATTTTGAAATATGTTAGCTTGTTTAAGAAAGGAAGAAAATTTGTGACTAAAGCTTTCTTTAGCAGGAAGCCATCAACTTTAATTTTAGGGAAAGTATATACAAAATAGATTAAATCCAGTGGTTGCTCAGTTTCCTAATGTGAATAGTGAGGGGGTTTAAATGTATCATTGAGGTCCCTTTTGTCTCCAAAGTCTTCTGCAAGGTTTTGGCCTTACAGTAAGTAAGCGCTGATATTCTCAAACTGGGTCATTGAGGCACTTTTAATAAAGAGACTGTTTACCTTGGTGGGGGCAGGGTTTTGGAACCAACAGGGCATAGTACAGTTCCCAGGGCTAGCCAGAGCAGGCACCCATTACCACATCTAGGCCTGAAGGCAGGAGGGGAGGAAGTGGTTACAGAAATTGGGGAGATTAGCTTTAGGGAACTGTCTATTTGACAGAAGCTGCAGAGGGATGCAGCCAGTCCTGGCAGGGAGTGGAGCTGGAGGAAGGGCTCCCTCAACTTCGCTCTCACCCCCCACCTCCTGATGGTGGCCACCACGGGCCAAACCCAGTAGAGGCCCTGAGGGTTTCTGTGCGCCTCAGCCTCCAGAGGCACAGAGCAGGTGAGGGTGGAGAGGGGAGGAGCAAGTGGAAAACAAGCAGGACTTTCCCCACTTCATGTTCCTAAACAAATGCCTTGATTTTTTTTTTTCCTCAAGGTAAAGAGATTCTGTCTTCACATGAGCTTCACGAGGGCCCTTTTCTCTGGTTTACTGCTCCAGCTGCAGGGAGTCACAGGGGGCCTGGGTCTGGGACAGTTCAGTGAATAAAGGGCAGCTGGGCAGCCAAGTACACCTTAAGAAGGGGCAGGAAGTGAGTAGCAACAATCAAATTGCAGTGCCGGGGAAATAAAACAGAAATGAGGGGCTGATGGCTTTGCATCCTAGTCCTAAAGCAATCTAGAAGAGAATAGCTTTCGGACTGCAGGAGAAAAATAAAACATGCATAAAATTTCATTTGCTGCATTCATCTTTATAGTATTGGGGAAAACTCGTGTTCCAATCCATAAATGTCACAGATGAATGACAGGATGTACTGCAGCCTTGCCTTTGTGGCAGCCTCTGTTGTGCAGAGCCCCCCTCTTAGCTCGTATTCACTGACACGATAGCTTGAAGCAAAATCGGCTGGGCCACAGAAATGTTGTGTGTTGAAATCAAGTATGGGAATACAGTCTCCTGAGGGAATTATGGTGGATTTCCCCCCAGCTTCTCAAACAATCAGTACATTTTTCAAAAAGTTCGGTTGGAGTATAGCTTATATAGAATAAAATTCACCCATTTTAAGTATACGTTTCCATGAGTTTGGGCACATATATACAATAGTGCAGTCACCACCACAATCAAAACATAGCATATTTTTATCACCCCGAGAAGTTTACTTGGGCTCCTTTGTGGTAGATCCCTTCCCAAACTCCTGGCCCTGGGCTGTCTCTAATCTGAATTTTGTCAGCATAGCTTTGCCTGTTGTAGAATTTCATATGGGTAGAATCATATGTAGAGTACAGTATTTAAATTTTAGAATCAGCGTTGCAATTTTTACAAAAGTCTTCTGAGGTTTTATTGTATATTCATTCGTGCAATACACAATTTGTTTATTGTATATATGTGTGTATGTTTATACAAGTTAACAATATTTATCCAAGTATATACTCCTGGTAAAAATGACCTGAGTAGTGCAAAAGGATTTAAAATGAAAAGATAAGTCTACCGCTCAATCTTTCCCATTTCTAATCCCACCTCTCGGAGCCAACAGCAACTAACTGGCTCTGCCATTAGTTCTTTGGGAGGTTTTACTATACCAACCTCTGTTTCTTTTTTTCAGATTGGCACCTGAGCTAACGTTTGTTGCCAGTCTTCTTCTCTTTTTTCTTCTTCTGCTACCCAAAGCCCTCCAGTCCATAGTTGTATATTCTAGTTGTAGGTCCTTCTGGTTCTGCTATGTGGGATGCTGCTTCAGCATGGCTTGATGAGTGGTGCTAGGTCCGCGTCCAGTATTCAAAAGGGTTTCCTGGGTCACTGACGCAGAGTGTGTGAACTTAACCACTTGGCCATGGGGCTGGCCCCAACTGCTGTTTCTTTTTTCTTCTGAGGAGTATTAGCCCTGAGCTAACATCTGCTGCCAATCCTCCTCTTTTTGCTGAGGAAGACTGGCCCAGAGCTAACATCTGTGCCCATCTTCCTCTACTTTGTGTGTGGGACACCTGCCACAGCATGGCTTGACAAGTGGTGTGTAGATTTGCACCCGGGATCTGAACCAGCGAAACCCAGGCTGCCAAAGTGGAACGTGCAAGCTTAACCGCTGTGCCACCGGGCCAGCCCCCCAATCGCTGTTTCTTGATGGTCTCTATGGACTTGGTGCAGGAGAGGGGATGGTTTTGCTCATTATGTTACCTCCTTACTCTTCCACCTCCTCACCCCTCCTCCCGATAGTTCAATCACTATTTTTATTGCCTCTGTTGCTTACTTTTGAACCTTGAAATGCTTATTCTTGATTTTATACCTTAAATTAAACTAGCACTTTGAAGAAGAAAATAATTGCAGTTCTTGGATGCAGTAGATTATCCTTTATGTAAAATAACTACACAAACCATACATTTCAGGGATGGGGATCAGGCATGATCAGTTACTTTGTCAGTGTGTGTGTGTGTGTGTGTGGGTGTGTGTGTGTGTTTGTGTGTTAACTGATATGACTCACTTTCATTTCAGTTGTATATATATTACAAATCAGCTAAATTAGACCTCTGATGTTAAAAATGTAATTTTTGTTAATATAATGAAGGAAATTACAGGAGACTTGAAAAAATCTGTAAGCGTTTGTTTTGCTTCTTTGCTTTGCACGGGTTCAGTAAAGCGGAACAAGAAGGAAATTTCCTCTTTCCAGTGAGAACATGAACTTTAAACCTTGAGGCACATCACAAAAATTAGCTAGCGATGAAGATTTTACAACTAAAGACTCCTTATAGTATTGACAGTTAATCGAGTTAAAACATTCTTAGCCAAGTTAAAAAAAACTTTCAGAGTCATGTTTATGAACACAAGCATACTTCCTCTGGACTTACGTAAACAATCTTCTTTGAGATGTTAGAAGTGGCTTCTGATTGCGGTTTTCCTCTAGGATGAGGAGCTGCAGGTGCAGACAGGATGGTTTGATAGTTTACCTTCTCGGAGGCTTCTTGGGAGCCTGTCTGATCTGACTTCACCACCTGGTGTCCAGTTTGCAGATCCGACTTCTCCGTGGACTCTGCAAACTAGAAGGTCTTCACCAAGCAGAGGGTCCTTTCTGTGCTGAAGGATAGTGTTGACTCTCAAAGGCTTGATGGCTTCACTTAAGATGGTTTTGAAAAGACTTCTTAATACAGGAGCAGACCCTTCATACAGCAACCACAGTCTTGAGAAATTTGTTTAGATAAATCTCATCACAACAAAAAAGTATGATCTTAATGAGGCCCAAACAACCATTTGTCTTTCTTGGTGTATTTATCCAGTCAAGATGGATAAAGTGGGAATTCACTGAAACAGCAATAGCTTCATAGTTCATACCAGGAAACTCATTTGTTTTATCACAAAATGCAGCAATTTCTGTACCTCATACAAAACTGAGATCCAAAGCCTAGAAGAAAATCAGCAAGTATTTCCTTTAAATTTGTCAAGGCTTTGATCAAACAGCTGCATCTTTAAAATAGGAAGATGACAGTAGGAACATAGCATCAGAACTGGTGCTGAAGGAGAGTTTTGAATGACCAGAACAAGAAGACATTATGTTTGCTGAGCTGTTTCTTCCAGAAGCTGAAAGGCCCGGGGGAAGGTGCTCACATGTTGGGCAAATAAGGGCTGAGTTAACCTCCCCACAGTGGTTACCAAATTCCTATTTGATAACTTTTAATACTATTTGTAAATTTCTATTCCTTGTTTCATCAACTTTCAACAGTACCTCTTGATTCTCTACTTTCTACCCTTCCTCCCCCACCACGTTTACTGTGAAATTTGTGTGATTGAAACTGTACATTCTGAAATTTAAATAGTCACCTGTGCTTTATATATGGGTTGATTTTTGAAAGACAAAAGCTGAAAGTAGGTTTTATTGCGGCATACAGGGGTATACTGTGATTAGATTTCTTTCTCTGTGCAGACAGCTCTGATGGTATAGGACGGGTGTTGACTGCAGCAGTTTCATAGGGTGCGTTGTCTTGGTTGTATTCTATGCAGCTCTGCATGCTAATTACTCAACAAAGAAGGCTTTGTTCAATTGGATTTCTTCAACAAGGTACACAGTGTACATACTACAACCAGTAGTGTTGTTAGCCAGCTGAATTCAAACACAGCTGCAGCCCTGACACTGTATCATCTGAGCAGACGACAAGAAGACCACAGACGAAGCCAGGACAGCATGCATAGCTGGACATCAGCTGCCACACTTAGCCTCCATAACTCTGGAGCTAGGGGCCTCAAAAATGAGAACTGGTGAGCTGTGAGGGTGGTGAATTGTTGCACGGCTGAGTTATACACCAGTGAGTGCTAGCACAGTTATGTTATACTTTTTCTCATTTACCATTTAAATAGATTGGGCATGTACCAGACTCGGGAATTCATGCCCCTTAGCTAAGAAGCGTTGTTCTAAAGTGGTTGACATGATATTTGTGATCCAACAGGCTTTTTTCCTTTCTCTGTTGTTGTTAGTATGTCTCCTGGGAAATACAATTGTCATCCAGACAATAGCCTTCCAGCAGAAGTCTTTTCTGTTAGATTTACAGGTGAAGCTAGTCTTTATTACGTGGGTCTTCTCTAGGATAATTTTAACGAAGGATGAGATACTCTGACGGGTTCGGGTGGTGAGTTACCTGCCTTTGTTGGGCTGCTTTGCTGTCTAAGTTTGGATTCACTGCAGGAGCCCACAGCCCTCAGGTGCACCATTTGGTATCCCTGCCAAATGTGTCCCTGCAGTCTTGGTGTGTTTTATTCTTTTTACACACAAATGTCTCAGTTTTCGCTGGCATTTTAGGACCCTCTGACTTAGTTTGTAACAAAATACCAGAGACTGGGTGGCTTATAAACAGCAGAAATTATTTCTCACTCTTCTGGAGGCTAGGAGGTCCAAGATCGGGCCCTGGAAGATTAGGTGTCTGGTGAGAGCCTGTTTCCTGGTTCATAGATGGCCGTCTTCTCACTGTCTTCACATGGTGGGAGGAGCAAGGGATCTCTCTGAGATCGCTTGTAAAAGAGCGCTAATCCTTTTCACGGGGGGCTCAACCCTATGATCTAATCACCTCCCCAAAGCCCCACCTCCTAATACCTTCTCATTGGGGGTTAGGATTTAACAATAGGAATTTTGGGGGAACACAAGCATTTAGTCTGTAGCACCCTCAGACCTCGTTACTTTTCTTTTGGAACAATGAAGATGCTCCTTGGTACCCTGAGAGTCAAGGATTCCCTCCTTTTTGAGCACAGATGCTACTCCTGGGCAATTAAAGGGTCTGATGTAGATGTCTGATGCCTACATGACTTTCTCATAGACATACACAAGTACTGTTCTCCTCTTTTGAGGACTTCCTGATGACACCTGGTTTTACCCTGACTCGTATTTATTACTTGTTTGCTTGCCTCTGTTTTGCTGTAGGGTTGTAACGTCCTTGAGGGCTAAGAGGAAGAGTTTCTCATCTTGATAGATAGCGTCCAGCATGGTTTTGGCCATATGGTAGACACCCAGAAATCTGTGTTTCATGGAAGGGAAACCGAGGCTTCCGCTCATCTGCTGGTTTGAACAAGAGCTTTGTCTTCTGTGTCCTCTTGAACGGTGACAGAATTGGTGGCCTCTAGGGAGTGGAAGGAAGCTGTCCATACAGTTCACTTGGAAATGGGTTCACCTGATCAGTTTATCTACTGAGGAGACATCTGTCTGTAGAATTAGATAATTTGGTTACTACTGTAGTTTTTAGCAAATGACTTTGCATCAGTAGTCCAGTTGGCAAACTACTGCATAGATTCAGTGGGAAGTCTCTTTTTGAAAGGATCATCAGCCAGCTTTTCTTTCTCCTAGTTTTGCTTCACTGGAGAAAGTAAAGGTGGCATATCTTAGCACTGAGCATCCATTCCCATTTATAGAGGGAGTAGTTATCTAATTTGTCAACTTCATTTTCAGGGCTTGCTTTTTTCCCTGCAATACCTCTAATTATTTACTTGCTTTTCTTTCCTACATTTGTGTTCTGGATACTGGATTTAGTGTTATGTTTTGATCAAAGCATTTATTAAAATAGCTAGATGGTGATTGAAATGCCGTTCGTTTGCTACCTGTTTTAAATGATTGATGATGAAGAAAAGCTATAACTGAGGGATAGTTAAGGAGCATCTGGCTTGTGGTGACCTATCCATTCTTAGTATTTTCTGTGGCTCAGAAGATGCAATTTTGCCATTATAAATGAGAGATTATATGATATTAAAATGAAGGGCCTGTGATTACTACTGGATAAATTTGCATCTTTGGAAGAAGTAAAAAAGAAAAAAATCTTACTATACCTTTAGTTAGTAAAAATATAGATTTTAAAATGTATTAGTAATTGTGGAATATCAAGATCATGTGAATAAGAGTATACATTGGTGGATCTGGAAATTTTGTAACTAAACCATCATTTTCCGGGATGTTGCAAGATGTTAACTCACTTAACAGAGTGAAATGGAATATTTGATAATGGAATATTTATCATTTCCCAGCAATAAGTTATCGGCATTCTGTTACTTTTATGATGACAGATTTGGTAAGCAGAAAACCAGAACTGACTTTGGTCATTGGGTTGCTTATGGAAAAAATGCTTTTTGGATGTTTTCAAACCAGGTGGAAACTGTCAATGAGAGTCCCTTGAACTCCTTTGGCCAGTGGACATGAATTTGGTCAAAGTAATTGACTACTTGCCAGAGGAGAGTAGCTATCTCAATCTTTTTTTTTTATGTATCACAGAGAGTCAGCTTTTTTTTTTTTTAAATAAAGTAAGTTGGTTTGGATTTTATGTTTCATTTATAAAAACAAATATTTTCAGTTTTATTGAGGTATAATTGACAAATAAAATTGTATAAAAACAATTTATTTTGATTCAGCCATCCGAATAGAAATCTCTGTAACACAGGGTCATTGCTGAGGCTGAACTATAGACCGAAAGAGCAGAATGTCTCCTTTTTCTGAATTATTTTAGGAAAAAGAAGCCTGTATTTCCTCCCCAGACTGTGGCAAGCTGAGCCTTCTGAGAGGTTTGCTGTTGTCTTAGGTCTTTGACGAGAGTCCTGGAGACAGCAACGAGGGAGCTTTGCCTGGAGAGGCGACCCTCTGACTTTGCATCAGTGGTGCTAACAAGGGTGCCAGTCCGTGTCTCACGTCCCCACCCTCCTGTTTATAAAGCCCTCCTGAGAGCAGGGTCTGTGCCCCAGAGCTGCTGGTGAAGTGAGGACTGGGAGCTGACTTGGGTCCTTGCCTGCGTGTCCGTGTTGGCAGGCAGCCCTGGTCAGAGCCTAGGAGCATCTGAGATTCCCTGGAATGGTCTGAGGCCTCTGGCTAGAACAAAGCTCTCACCTGCTGCTGAACTCGGAGCACAATGAACAGTTTCCTGTCATTTAACGGGAGGAAAAATAATGCTCAGTCACTGCATTTGGGGTGCACCAGGGTTTGATTTGAGCTGCGATAGGGTGTGGCACGTTTCACTGCCTGCCCTTTTGTTCCAGGCTGTGATCTGCCTACTGATCACAGAGTGGTATTTATTTACCGGTGAATTTGTGGGTTCTCTGTGGGTGAGAAGTGGGGCTCGCCAGGAGGCTGTTTTGGGTGTGGTGTGAGGCTGTGAAGCTGCACGTCCAATAGCAACATTCTACAACTGGCTTGAGGGTGAGGACCACCAGGCGCCTAATTACTTGGTCAAACCATTTGAAGCAGATTGATTTCTTACACCTTAATAATGTACTGTTCTTTCAAGTAGCTGGCTCTCGTGGCTAATCCTGCTTGTTCCACAAGATGGTATACACACCTATTTAAACTGGTCATTTCATCAGCTGAAATGATGCTGGAGCATATACCATCTTAACAAATGGAGGCAGGAGACCCAGAGCCTGGGTAGCATAACCAGTTGCGGTGCAGCCAACAAATTGCCTGATTGAAACCATCATCTATGTAGATGATGGTTTTCTCTTCACCGTGACATCATCAGTGTTGTTCTTTACTTGGAACAGAAGTGCAGCGCATGCTGATAGTTTTTAGTATTTGTTTTCAGCTGCACTCATCACCACAGTGAATTTTAGAACATTTTCATTACCTCAAAAAAGAAATCTCTCATCCCTTAGCTAGCATCACCTAAGCCCCCAACCTGCCCCAGCCCTAGGCAACCACGAATCTACTTTCTGTCTCTATGGATTTGCCTATTCTGGACATTTTATATAAATGGAATCATGTAATATGTAGTCCTTTGTGACTGGCTTCTTTCACTTAGCATAATGTTTTCAAGGCTCACTCATGCATGTGTGTACATGTTTCAGTACTTCATTCCTTTTTAATGACTGAATAACATTCCTTCTTATGGATATACTATATTGTTTATTCATTCATCAATTGATAGATATTTGAGTTGTTTCTACTTTTTGACTATTATAAATAATACTGCTGTGAACATTCATATACAAGTCTCTGTGTGAACATTATGTTTTCATTTCTCTTGGGTACATGCCCAGGAGTGGAGAGACATTATATTTTGCAGTACTTTTTTCCTTCTATGTGGAAAATGGAAGGGGCACTTTTCTTGGTGATGTAGGCTCAGCGTTGGAGAAAGCGTTGATCAGGAGGCGGGAATTGTGGTTCAGAGTTCCAGGTCTGCCCCTGCCTGGCCATGTGTTAGGAAATTCACTGTTTCCTCAGCTGTAGAGTGAGGTAGTTTTTCTCAGACGATCTTTAACGTCCCTTCCAAGTTAAAAATTTTTCCTCAGTGGTAATAAAAAGCTTTCGAGATATGAAGGAAAATATTTCCAATGAGGTCTAAATAACAAACCACACCCCACTGGAGTCCCTAGATGCTGTTTTTTGTTTCTTAGTTTGAAAATGACTTGTACTTTAATATCTACTTAGTTAGTTAAATGTTTGTATGTTTTTCAATAAAAATAAGTAAATGCCCCTTTAAAAAATTGGATAAATCTGGAACCAAAATTACTCAAATTTGTATTACCCAAAGACATCTACTTTAACATTTTGGTGTCTTTCGTGTCAGCTTTTTGCACTTTAGCTTGTTGTTCATTGAATTGTAATCATACTCAGGTGACAGTTTTCTGTTGGGACCCTGTTTTGATTACCCTTGAGACTTGCCTTGATTTCGCTTTGATGCTTCTGACTGTGATTGAAGGACCTTTGAAAGTGGAAAGTGTTTTGATGGAAATGGCTTTGTGAAAGCCACAACAGTTTTGAAACTGTAAAGGTATTTCCAAATGTGTGCTCCAGCTGG